CGCCCTGTATACCACAGCAGGATCCTTACACACTCGCAGGTTTCGGAAGCCCAGGTGCCACGATCCGGCCGCCTTCAAAGAACATGTGCTCCGTGCGCACCAAGCCGATGCCTTCGCACCCAAACTCCTTCGCCTTAGCTAAGAGCGGTTGGAATTCCCTCAAGTTAGCACTGGCATGAAATTACCTCCTTACGAGGGCTTCATGGAGTAGTCTTGTGTACACCCGAAACATAAGCGTCAGTTGCAGCCCCAAAATGGAAACCTAAACCTGGATCCTCAATCCTACTGGCCTGGCGCGCATCTGCGGGTGTCTCAGCGTTGGCCCGAACCTGCATGGTGCGGAACTCGTCGGCCCAGGACATGATGGTGCCAAAGGCGCCTTTGGGTCCACTGTAAGGGATTTTCAGTGGATGTTAGAGAAATGGTTTAGGTCATACTCAAGGTGCAGGATCTTGAGGATTCGGCTCTTAAAATGTGTTCCCCGCCCCTCGCCCCCAGCGTGCCCCTGCAGTGCCTGACCCCGAAGCGTGCCTCGACTCCCTGAGCCCAGAATGTCCCTGGAATTAACCTAACAGAGTATCCCTGCACCGCCACACCCCAGAGTGCCTTTTTCTTCTGGCGTGGTTCTAAAACCTGTAGAGTTCTGGAACAATTGCTACGGTGGGGGGGCTGTTCGAAGTTGAACGGTTTCTTTGGGCTTTTGCTACCAGAGGCGCCGGAGAGCTGCGGGGGCACTGTGGGGACTTCTCCCAGCATCACCTGTCCCGTGACACCGTCAATGGTGATGAGCTGACCCTCGCGGACGACCACATCGCCCACCTCGGCTTCAGTTGAACTTCTGGGTGAGTGGGTTAAGCGTTTTCGGAAATTCCCCAGTCTCGAGCTCCATCATCATCTCTAGATTGCTAAGTACAACTCTTCACCAGAGAAGAAGAAGCGCTCGGATTGGGGGTTCCCTGAGAAGCCTGGCAAACTCCAGTGCCAGAATGCAAAATCCCAGCTCCTTCACCCTCAGTTCTGCATCCTACAGCCTCCCACTTCGTATGTCACCCCTTAAACAAACACCTGCATAACTTCTTGGTAAGGCCTAACAAGTCCACAACAGCGTGAGGCTCAGGATTGGATTTTCTGAACCATCCCACCCCAATGTCACCCGGTCACCTCGAAGGATGCGGAGCTGTAGTTAACCTTCACCTCGCCGGCACCTGCCACGCAGGGCCGGCCCATGCCACGCGCTACCACAGCCGCATGGCTGGTCATCCCACCACGCGTCGTCCTGGGGTGTAGTAGAGTTTAGGATTTGCAGCGCAAGGTGTGATGGGCATGATTCGGACGTCAACATGATTGCTAGCCACGGGCTGGAACTGCTTCTTTCATTGTCTCCATTTATCTTGCCTGGCAGCTTCCAAACAATCATTGGGACGAAAAGATTTACTCAAAACGTTATGATCGCTGTAAAAGAACCCCAGCAATGCCTCGTTTTGACAGATTCCTCTCCTCTACAAGCCCTACACTCTCTGCATTACCCCTGCGCTACCCCTCTGTAAACACCTAAACAAAAGCCCTAAATGGTGAAGGCCAGGTGTCAGGACACCCTCCGCCGCGTGGAGGCCGTGAATGTCGTCTGGGCTTGTCTCGATCCGCACCAGGATCACCTGCAAAAGTGTCTCAACATGAGGCGCGCAAATCATCCGTTGCTTTACAAGCCACCTCTCCCGTTTTCACACGATCGTATGCCTTGTCGCCGTTCTCCGAGCGTGTCACGGCCTCGTCGGCCGAAAAGACCACCTTTCCGGCTGCAGCACCTCAGGCATTCCGGAGCTTCGTCCACA